CCTTTATATCTAGAACATTAAGGAAAACTGAAGAAAACTATGAAGTCAATGAAAAAAAAAATGCATGCCATTATTTGGGAATTAAATAAATTTAGAAATTTCTCTATTGAACTGCGAAATCCATACAGATCATCAACTTCTCACTTACGCCTTAAGCAATAAAAATTATAATTTTAAGTTAAAACGATGGAAAGCCACACTCGAAGAGTATAATTACGAATTAAGATATAAACCCGGCAAAGCCAACATAGTAGCAGACACCCTTTCAAGACCATTTGAAATAAATTCTTTATTAGTAGCCACACATTCAGATGACAGCTCTTACTTAAATCCTCGGTGATAAACGGTATATTTATTTCCAAACAAATAATGGAAATAATTCATCGAATATACCAATTCACTTTTTTAATTACAATATAAAATTCGATATACTTAAACGAAAGTTGATGACATTACGAACGAGGACATTCAAAACGAAACAATATTAAAAGAACATAAACGTGCACACAAATAGAGACGACCCAAATCATAAAGAGAAATAATATAAACGAATAGGCTCGAAAGTAAAAGCAAGATATAGGAAAGAATTCGTAAAAGAAGTCAAATCCAGTGTTGTAATAACAGAAAACACATTTTATGATAATCCTTTGGGCAAGTCCAAGCTTATCGGAAATCCAACTTTTTGACTATACCCCATCCCACATTATTACTATTAGAGGCAGACAACTATACAGGGCGGCACATTAAAGATAATTCATCTAATAGACCTTAACCGAAACGACACACTTCTACGCAACGATCAAATCAACGTGGATTTAAACATATCGGAAACTAATATCTTTTACCCACTTTTAAATCACGAAATATGCGAAGCCATACAAATTCTTCAAGATGTAAAACCAATGCAAAACTTTCGAAGCAAAAGGAAAATGGAAATATTATATATTGCCGGTAGTCCAGATCATGAAGATCTTGGAATCATAAGTAATAATATGAACGAAATAATAACAACAAAAAACAAATTTTTATTAACGAAGCATTAAATAAAATTATTAATGATTTAATAAATGTTACGGATGAAATATCTCTCTATTATATATAAAAGTTTTCTGCTGCTGTCGAGAATCAACTAACATAAGAGCGAGCTAGCTCGCGCTCGGCGGGGGGCGGACGTAGGCAAGCGAGCGAAGCGAGCGTCCCGGAGCGCAGCGGAGGACTCCTAGTCTTATTATATTAAAAAGATAATAGTATCGAAAACGAATTAGCCTTAAGTATTGGAAGTAGAATAAGAATAATTAAAGAAAGATTTATTAATATTAAATGTGCCATTCCATGGGCAAAATATACAATTGTTAATTCAACGTTGTTAAATACAAAAGATTCGGATGGAACCGTACATTTTATACTCTCGCAAAGTTACTCTCGTTTCAGAAAATAGATATTAATACTCGCTGACCGACATATTCGGCATAAAACTGGTTAGAATAACGAAAAGCATTATAAGTAGTATGTAGGAGTTGAGGGTAGTATTAACCCGATTTTATCTATTTTTACCAATACCACATACTACTAACATGCCACAGACTAATAACATGCTCCTACTGTTTTATTAAGGTACTTACATAGCAATAAATCACCAATCACATGGAGTAAAGTGAGACGAATGGTCGAAAATCCTGATATTAGTTACATGATGGCTAAGTAAACTTTTCACCCGATTTGCTCCATTTTAGGCACAACAGATACCTTGTTATAAGTAAAATATATGTATAAAGTCACCCGAAAGTTTAAAAATCTTTATATTAGGTGTATGAGGGCTATAGGAAGTATTGATCCGATTCAACCCACTTTTGACACAAAAACATACTATTATCGAGAGTTTTATTTATTTATTTTATTATATGAATTTCATTTATATATCTTACACATTTACCGTCACAAGGTGGCATACTTTAAATGCATTATCCAAGCATCGATACAAACGTTGTGAAAAAATAATGGAAATAAAATTATGTTATATGGGAAATAGGCGTGGTTGGAATCCTATCCCATTTTCGTACTATAACATAGAAATATGAGAAGAAGAGAGGGTTGTCAACTGATTTCTCCCATTTTCACACCGTCGATAGAGATGCTAAACATTTGTTCACAGTGAATTTTGTACATATAGCTTCAGTGGTATAGGAGATATGCACTTTAAACTTATTAGGGGCGGGACTACGCCCACTGAAAAATATTTAAACTGCAGATGCCCTCTCTAGTGTGATCCTGTATACCAAATAAGAGTCTTGTATCTTGTTGTGGAGCTTAGTTATGGCAATTTATTTGTTTTTGATTAATGGCGTTTTGTGGGCGTGACAGTGGTCCGATTACGCCCATCTGCAATACCACTCGTCTTACGTAACCAAGAAACATGTGTACTAAGTTTCATAAAGATATCTCAATTTTTGTCAATTACAGCTTGCACAGGCGGACGCCTGATCATTTATATATAAATAACCTATATCTTACTCGAATATTTTAGGTGATACAAACAACCGTTAGGTGAACAAAACTATTACACTCTGTAGCAACATGTTGCGGGAGTATAAAAATAAATATTAATACGCACTGACCGACATATTCGGCATAAAACTAGTTAGAATATCGAAAAGCATTAAAAGTAGTATGTAGAAGTTAAGGGTAGTATTAACCCAATTTTATAAATTTCATAATCAATCATATGGTTAAAGTCAGACGAATCTTGGAAAATCCTGATAGTAAATACATAATAATAACCCAACGATTACCCTCCTCCCGCCCAACCGACGCATACGTGCGGAATTAGCCGAGTCAGAAAAGGCAAGAGAGTTTTTTAAGTGTTGAGATCTAAAAATGCTCAGCTACAGAAAAATTTCAACAGCTAAGATCTAAAGTTACAATATAATAATTGTTACATTTTCATTTATTAGAGAAAACAATAAAGTCTTTTAATTTTGAAAAGTGAGTCAGATAAGTCAAATGTCTGGAATGAGAATTAAAATCATGACATATACGGCGAAATGGCTCGTTTAGTTCAAATTTGATCTACGGATTTTAGCAGTAAAGGTCTAAACTGCCTCGAAAGGCGAACCGGGATATTAAATTTAATTTCAGACAGAGAGAAAGAACTGCAAACAGTTCCATTCAAAGTTTCACTAGAATGTTATCCAAGCATTTCCTACGACTAGAAGTGTAGGTAGATTAATAAGTTTTAAACGACTAGTGTATGGAGGTAGACTTACGCTAGCATCCCATCAGAAATGCGCTAAGGCGAAAAGTAAAATTGTTTTGAACCGACTCTAACTTGTCAGAATGGATTTGGTAGCTAGGTTCCATACCACAGTGCCATATTCCAATATATCTCTCTTTTGGATTTAGTTTCCTCTCAGTTACCGTTTCTTTTCGGCTTATTAAAGTATTTCCTGACTTCTTTCATTTTCTTAAATAGTTGTATGTTCCACCATGGAGCGCCTTTCGTTTTCTTTGGCTGTGAGAGTTTGCAACTAGCGTTGAATACTTCAATTAGACTATTATTTAGGTCGTCTACCTTCTGCTCTAGTTCTTGGAAAAGTTTTTGCTTTGTTTGCTGGTATATTTCTGTTTAGATTTATGTCTAATAACTTTTTGTATTTTGCCCAGTCGGTTTTCCAAGGATTTTTTTATGGCTTCATTCATGTCTCTTGATAGCCCTAAACGGAATTCTATTATTCTGTGATTTGACATTGAAGGTTCAGAGGAAAGCATCTATTGTCATGTCCATTACATCCTTCCTAGTTCAAGTTTTGAATATGAGTGTGGATCCCACATTGTAAACGTATAGGTCGTTACTTAAAAAGTATTGTAATAGGGAATCCCCTCTGGCATTGTTGTTGGTGCTGCGCTATGTTATGATATGCGCATTTGCATTGCAGCCAATTACTAAGGGAAGACGTTCCTTCTGGAAGTATTTTATCAGCTGCTCCACTTCTGGAGGTGGTATTGTGTTTATGTCTCCAGGAAAGTAAGCGGATGCTAACATGATTTCGGTATTCCTTCCGTCCTTCAGAGTGGTCACTTGTATGAGCACTAGGTATCTGCTTAAAAAATTTGAGATACATACTTATATATTCTATAACTTTCTTTAATATAATGCAAGGTTCTCACAGGTGAGATCCAATTTGACTGTTGTAGATTTGTTTTTTGTCCCTCTTATCGGACCTTTGTAGATCCATGGCTCCTACGAAAGAAATATGCCCAAATCATCCGAGGCTATTCGGTTTGTTATTACCGCGGAGGCAGCAATAGTAAGGTGTACGTTGATCTTGGCTATATTGATGATCGATGTCAGTTTCCTTCACCTGTTTGCTCCTCGATGTCAGTCTTCAGTAGGTTTAGATTGGTAGCCAAATCCTTAAGCTCCTTCGTTGAGAGGATTACTTCGTCCGTTCCCTTTTCTTTAGGTGAAATCCTATATCTCAGGAACTACTTGACCGATTTCAACCAAGGTAGGTGTGTGAAGTTACCCAAACATTCCTATATTGTAGTGTCTACATGGGAAATCGCATGGGAAATGAGATGACAACCACGACTGATTCCCATATAACAAACTTTTAAATTCCGTCTGATTCATTCACTTTACAGTATACAAATCAAACATCAATAAAGCTATCATAATAAAATTATGCACAAATAGTGCCCTCAAGGTATTTCGCTTCTCTTAGCCCCCATATTCAATACCTGACATAAATATTTTCGAACCAATATGTAAGAAATCTTAATGAAATTGAGAAATAAAATTTTTTTAATAACAGCGTATGCCCCTTCCTTACATGAAAAAATTCACGGCGATACTTTTCTCAGTTTGATATAATATAAAGTTTTGCCGAAACCTGACCCCTCCGCCTTTATTCTTTGCTATTTGCAAGAGTAAGAAATGTTCGGTTACACCCGAACTTAGCCCTTCCTTACTTGTTTTATAATATATTTATTGTACTTAATAATATACTCTTCTCTTTTGTTGTCGACTAGTTAACATAGTAACAGTAATGAAACAAATTACAAATATATATTCGTTTAACTATGTGGTATTACAATAACACTGTACTTTTTACGCGAAATCTTGAAGTGAAAAAACGATGGAATTTTTTCGTAAATGTCAAATTATTATCATCGAAATAAAAGCATTGTTTGTCACTTTTGGAAAAATTCTAAGCGCGCAAACACATAGATTTTTTGTTTTCGATTTTTAATACGTGTGTATTTCTGCTTAAATAGTTCAGATACTCTTGCAAACAGTTGATATAGAACCTTATCTTTAGATAATATTAAAGGTCGTGTTTGTAACAAATTATGCGTTCTTTCCAAATAATGAATTAATATAATTTCTTGATCGTTTTATTTCAAAAATTATCAAAGCGCAACTTCAAGGCGACTATGGATCTACCTGCGTATCAACAATTGAATGTTCGCAAGAGTACACGTGGCAAGCGGCCATTACGCAATCTAACACCTAATGACAAAGTTCGGGCTATTCAACGCATTCATCAAGGGGAGACCAAAGCTTCTGTTTCGAGGGACATTGGAGTGCCAGAATCAACACTTCGAGGCTGGTGTAAAAATGAGCATAAACTTCGTTTCATGTGTCGCCAGATGAATGAAAAAAATAAAATTGAGCCATTTCCGATTTACAAACTAGAAAATTTTCAACCAACTGCGAAAAAAAATAAATTAGATGGAAGGAATCCTTTTACCTCGACCATTAGCTTTGAGAACATGATCGAACTCAGTGAAATGTCCAATTTGAATAATTTCCTCTTTGATATCAACGATAACAGCAACTATGGCAACGCGTTACTAGAAGAAACCTTAAGTGAGTTTCTAAAAAAAAGGACTTTGCCAGATTCGAACGAAATAATGAAGCATAATTTAGTGACAAAAGGCAATAAAACTTCATCTGGCTTGTGTTCATTGGAAAAGACTTTATCATCTATTAGTGCCGCAACGAATTGCAAGGAATATCAGTTTGGTCCCTACAATTTAAATTCCAATTTTGTGCCGATGTTGCAAACCAGTTCCCTCTTAGCGAAATATAGTGTAGTTAGTTCCAGTTCTGAACGTAGCAAACTAAAACATACACATCCTATAAATAAAAATATTGACAAATCCGTTCTTACCGATCCTTTTAATGAAGGAAATGATGCAATTACATACAACAAGTGGACCAACGAAACTATTAAAACAAGTAGTCACAATACGGAAGGGAACGATTACAATATATTAAGTATTAATAATAGAGAATACATAAATAACGATAATAAAATCGTCGATCACAATAATATTAATAACCAGTGCAACAATGATTCGAGATTACTTCAGTGGTACAAAGTTTTCAGTGCAAGTTTGAATTTCTTGACTTTAGCGGTCACTGCTGCTACACTTCAGCCTACGCCAGGTTATGTGCAAGAAGGTGGTAATAACCAAAATTTTACATATTCTAAAACAGATTTGACAGAGTACACTTTCGAAACAAAAATGCCCAACATTCAGAGCTACTATGAAAGTGAACCTGAAGATCTTTCCATACGTTCAACAGTTTCAAAAACTTCTACGCCCATCAAAACTCAGTCTCACAGATCCGGTTCTTTTTCACAATGTCTGTCAGATCGTAAACAGAAGGAATTTCCTTAATTTAATATATAAATAAAAAAAAATTAATTTTACAAAGAACTTCACAGAATTTATATTACTATAACTATGTTCCTTATTTTTTGTTTCCGCTCCAAAATGTGCTGTTTATGGTTTAATAAAGAGATTTTTCTATTAAAGACAAACTGATAAAATATTTTAAAATTATCTAGATTGTCGTAGTTTTCTTGTTGCGTGTTTCGATGCTGCTTTGCAAATAACATCGCGGACGTGTGTTTGTGTTGTTGTGTTGCGCTCAACCTCCGACATACATACATTTTGGCTTGGCCAATTTATTTTGGTGGCTTCTACACTCAGAGAAGAAAAAACCCACGCAGTTTAAAATTTTCTAAAATTCCTTTTTTAAATTGTCACTATTTGCTCAAAATGCGCTATTTTTCTTATTTGACTTGATTTTTATGTGACTACATTAGTTTACCGTTATTTCTGAAACCGTTAGTTTATTTCAGTACTTGCGGTATTTTCTTTTGAGTCAGTTGTAAAGCCAAGTTGAACATGGTGTGGTCAATAGAGAAGAAAGCAGAAATCATACAAGTAGCTTTATTGAAAAATAAATTGTCCAAACGTCAAATATTTCGTGAAATGGACATAAGAGATTGGAGTGTGAGTAATATTAACTAAAGTTATACGAATTTTGATTCTTTAAATCAAAAAAGGGCTGAAAAAAGTAAAACTTTGTCATGAACGACAAATTAAACGGATGTACATTACTGATCGCTTGCAACATGTTGGAACAATCAATTTCATATTTTACGAAACTGCTGGGGTAAAAATAACTACATATTCTATGCAAAATGTCTTGAATAATCTTAGATTACGAACGCGACGTCCCGCCAAAAAGCCACTTCTCATTACCCGAATGGAGAAACAGCGGCTTGAGTGGGCAAAATCACAAAAAACTTGAACTGCACAGACTATGGAAATGTTATTTTTTCCGATTAATCCAAATTTAATTTCATTGGACCCAAATGAAATGCCACAGTGCGTCGTAGGAAAAGAGAGCGTTTTTTGGAAAGTTGTGTTTTACCAGAGAATGTTGAAGAATAGAGAAGGAGCAAATGTTAAATGAAAACTTTTTGAGTACTAATTTGTAATTCCACATGAGGGAACATCGAAAAATATAACTTCGAAAAAGAAAAATACACCACGCTGTGTGCGAAACGGAGAAAAGGCTATAAATAGACACAACGAATGAATAATCAGTGAGCATACCTATTTAGATTTGAGTTTTCAATTTCAATGATATGACGAAAATTAAAATTGTGAAAAGCCTTTTGAATCAAAAAGTAGGATTACTGGCAAAAACCCCAGAATTCATAATAAAATAACCTTTGATATGCAATTTTTCCAACTTTTGTATATGGGTTGCGTAAGCAATATACTTATTAAACAAATGATAATAATAAAACTGTGGCTAAGCGGCCGCGTTTCCACCTTTGTGGTGGCTTAGGTCGTAAGCGCGAAGGAGTTAAGCTCATTCCAAATACGAGCATATACGTTCGAATCGTAAAATACATAAAATTAAAATTTAATTTAATTTTTTTATTTTATTAATTGGAATCTAAGCATATCATAATTCAATTTCTTTAATAGCATATTTTACTTCCTGATATAATTAAAATATATCAGGAAAATATGTTCATATGTTTGGGTTTATTGCATATTCCTTTATTTATGCGTATTTACACAAATGTGATAATCACACATACATTCATAAGTACACGTACGCTGATGCTTGCTTCTTCTTGCCCCGCACAAGCAATGACTTTTGTCTAAACTTTTTGCTTTTTGCGAGAAGCAAGTTGAACGATCACAAGCAAGAAGGGGTCAGGGGCGCACTGCCACATAATTATATCAGATATATATTTTATTTACCGAATTTAAACGAAAAACGATTATAGGTATGAATTTATTGGTATTTATATTTTTATGTATATATTAATTATATTACGAAAATAAATCATTAATGCATTAGTACTTTTCAATACAAATTAAGCAACATATTAATATATTATGAATCCTCACTTGACACGCCTCTGTGCATGGTGGCAAGCCAAGAAAATAACGGCGAGTTCGCGCGGACATTATGTTGTTGAAAAAAACGAAAAGACGACTTTGTCGACAATCATACATATTCACATACATGCATACGAGCTCGCATACATATTGACACCGAATTTTGCGCATCGTGGCGGAGTTGGCAAAATTTGTTTCAATCGACAATTTTTCGACAATGTCGATCGGCTATGTTGTCTCGTTTGTCCTTTTTGCAGGGCTTTGCTGTTGAAAATTGACTTATGCTCTTTTGAAATGCTACGATTAACGATTGGTCTGCATTTTCATAACGTCGTTTGTAGATAAAATAGGCTAAATCGACAAACTATTAAAGAATGATAATAAGTAAACATATACAAGCAATATATGTAGTTTGCCTTGAATATATAGAAGTAATAAAGGATTTCATATAAATGGCAATTTTACTTAAATTTTATAATTTAAAACCATATGTAGTATAATATATGAAAATTAAAAAACAAAAATATTAAATCGGCAATGACCCAAGTTGCCATTTTTCTCTTCTGGAGTAAACATCAGAAAATTCTTCAACTTCTGATTTTTAGTATCACCATGAAGAAGCAGCTTTTGGGCAACTTGTAGAATATGCGCGTTCTTATGAATGAATTTGTTGTTGGTGTTATTTGAATGCGTAGATAGAAGAGCATATGACGTGTGTACATACAAACAGACCTTGACATATTCACGTTTTCATGTATGTAGATATGCATATGCATGAATGAATTTTTTCTTCTTGTAATTATGAATACAAGTATATGGCATATTGAATTGTTTGTATGTATACAAGTCATAGTGCATACAAACAGACCGTGGCAATTCATCAATTCTATTTTAAGCTGCTTTGTACAAACGAAGTGAACACTAACTGGTGGTCAAATCAAAAAATTTTATACTTACCTATGTATTATCAAAACCTCAAATATTTAACGAATTAAATGCAAATAAATTAATTTTTATTTATTTATATTTTATTAATTAATTTATTATTTAATTAAAATAATAATAAATTATACTTATAGGTATTTTTTAATTATATTAATCTAAATAAAAATCTGAAATGCAAAAACAGAAAACACTGAAAAAAAAAAAAAAAAATGCATATAAGTAATTTTGTTATTTATATTGTAACGATAAAACAAAAAAATATTTTTAATTGCACACGATTTGCGAATTTGCCTCCTCTTCAACCACAAATTCTCACACGATTTTTCCTATTTACACAGATTTAATCAATAATTCACCTGTTTTATGAAACTAGGCTCATGTGCAATAAAACTAGAAAAACTACACTACAACTAAAACTAATTATAATTAATCTCTACATATAATTTAAATACATTTTTAACTACTTAAACCTTCTAAATTAAACTTATTTACACCTGAAAATATACAAAGAAGAGCTGAAAATAGAAGAACATCTAAATGTGGAAGAAAAATGTATAAAATATTAATAAATTTGTATTAAATATGTATGTATATGATACATCACTTACACAAAAAAACACACCTAATACCTATTGCCTTCAATCAATAGAATTTTAGATTAAAATAAGTGCACCATAATCCCTATTTCTTATATATTTAATTTTTTTTGTTTACGTATTTTTCGGCGTTGCACATTATCTTGCCTCTTTTCTTCAGCCAGCCATTTCGCATTTTTATACAACAACACTGTTACTAAGGACTCTAACAGTTGTTGTCGGTGGACCAAGCATTCGCCAGCTTCTAAAAACCATTCTGGATAAACGTTTTTAGTGCTATCATCTATGGCATCCTCGATGAGCTCTCGAACTCCATAGTAGTGCGCATATTTTCCGAATAGCTCTTTATACCACTTCATCTGTATCCGACAAATTTCGAAAACTCTGTCAGTCGGATTTATTAGTCGCAGATCGGTGCAATCTTTATAGTTCTTAAAGCGTATTAAAGACTCGGAGTGCTTATTTAAATCTCCTTGAGTCTTCAACAGCTCTTTTGCACAGTTATCGCATCTGGACTTGCAGAGAAGTTTTTGGTATATCGAGTATCCAGTGTAATACCGCTGAACTTGAAGCTCCGCAGTATTTTCTTCGGTTTCTGCAAAGTGCTCATCGGGAATGTCAACTATATCAACGGCATGTTGCTCGGAATCATCGAGGGAGTTATGATCTTCCTCGCTGATATTCCAATCAAGATTCAGGTCTTCATAGTCTTCGCAGTTTGAGCCTTTATTATTAAATCTGCGTCTCAATATTTGCATTGAGATAAGACGAGCGACTATGAATTGAATATCATAGGCCGATGGATGAGTATTTACCCCCTGACTAGCCCTAATTTTATAAAAAAAGTTTTCTAGCGCGTCTTGATTTAATTTTCCTAACAATATAAATTTCACATCTTTGTAATTATCAAAGATATCTTTGGATAAATTCATCATTGCTGTCAGGGTTATGATAAACCCTGATAAGCATTGAACATTTGTAGTGTTAGGAACCTGGATATGCGAAATGAACTGCAGGTGGTCCTTCAGCCTATCAAACTTTGCCGAAGTGTTTCGCCAAATGGGACACCTGAACGGGTTCTTGCTGTTGAGCACCTTGCAATCAAGCTCATCAAACAAGTCGTTCATGCGTTTTACCAACATTTGTGTCGCTTTGGCGCATTTCAATATATATGCATCCGTGCCCAATAATCCCTGCCTGAATGCCATGTCGATGCCAGCTGCTACTGAATTGCTGAGCACCTGTGTAGCTCTAGAAACGCTCATTTTCTCGAAAGTATTGGGATATATGTGGGAGGATGTCAACTTCGGGCATATTTTAAAATGATGATTTACACTATCGATTGCATACAGCTTCCTTATAACTTTGAAGCTAGCTATGCCATCGATAGTTTTTAAGTCGTGCTTCAATAAATTATTCCTAACTGACTTAATCAAATGGCAATAGTCATATAGGCAATGAACTTTTTTGCCATTGATTATAACATATGGTTCGGACTTTGTAACTTTTAAATTATTATATAATCGGACATTCACGGAACCTCAAATGATCGCTTTTACATT